TAATGCTACCGCAGTTGTCCATCTTCCAGCTGGGGTGCGAGATACAACTGCGTAAAAACGTCTGCGCAAAACACTGTTCTATAAGATAGACGAATGAAAAACACTAATGCTACCGCGGCTGTCCATCTTCCAGCTGGGGTGCGAGATACAACTGCGTAAAACGTATGCGCAAAACACTGTTCTATAAGATAGACGAATAAAAAACACTAATGCTACCGCGGCTGTCCATCTTCCAGCTGGGGTGCGAGATACAACTGCGTAAAAACGTCTGCGCAAAACACTGTTCTATAAGATAGACGAATGAAAAACACTAATGCTACCGCGGTTGTCCATCTTCCAGCTGGGGTGCGAGATACAACTGCGTAAAAACGTCTGCGCAAAACACTGTTCTATAAGATAGACGAATGAAAAACACTAATGCTACCGCGGTTGTCCATCTTCCAGCTGGGGTGCGAAATACAACTGCGTAAAAACGTCTGCGCAAAACACTGTTCTATAAGATAGACGAATGAAAAACACTAATGCTACCGCGGTTGTCCATCTTCCAGCTGGGGTGCGAGATACAACTGCGTAAAAACGTCTGCGCAAAACACTGTTCTATAAGATAGACGAATGAAAATAACTAATGCTACCGCGGTTGTCCATCTTCCAGCTGGGGTGCGAGATACAACTGCGTAAAAACGTATGCGCAAGTCACTGTTCTATAAGACAGACGAATGAAAAACACTAATGCTACCGCGGTTGTTCATCTTCCAGCTGGGGTGCGAGATACAACTGCGTAAAAACGTATGCGCAAGTCACTGTTCTATAAGATAGACGAATAAAAAACACTAATGCTACCGCAGTTGTCCATCTTCCAGCTGCGGTGCGAGATACAACTGCGTAAAAACGTATGCGCAAGTCACTGTTCTATAAGATAGACGAATAAAAAACACTAATGCTACCGCAGTTGTCCATCTTCCAGCTGGGGTGCGAGATACAACTGCGTAAAAACGTATGCGCAAGTCACTGTTCTATAAGATAGACGAATAAAAAACACTAATGCTACCGCAGTTGTCCATCTTCCAGCTGGGGTGCGAGATACAACTGCGTAAAAACGTATGCGCAAGTCACTGTTCAATAAGATAGACGAATAAAAATCACTAATTCTACCACGGTTGTCCATCTTCCAGCTGGGGTGCGAGATACAACTGCGTAAAAACGTATGCGCAAGTCACTGTTCAATAAGATAGACGAATAAAAATCACTAATGCTACCGCAGTTGTCCATCTTCCAGCTGGGGTGCGAGATACAACTGCGTAAAAACGTATGCGCAAGTCACTGTTCAATAAGATAGACGAATAAAAATCACTAATGCTACCGCAGTTGTCCATCTTCCAGCTGGGGTGCGAGATAAAATTGCGTAAAAACGTATGCGCAAGTCACTGTTCAATAAGATAGACGAATAAAAATCACTAATGCTACCGCAGTTGTCCATCTTCCAGCTGGGGTGCGAAATACAACTGCGTAAAAACGTATGCGCAAGTCACTGTTCAATAAGATAGACGAATAAAAATCACTAATGCTACCGCAGTTGTCCATCTTCCAGCTGGGGTGCGAGATACAACTGCGTAAAAACGTATGCGCAAGTCACTGTTCAAATAGATAGACGAATAAAAATCACTAATGCTACCGCAGTTGTCCATCTTCCAGCTGGGGTGCGAGATGCAATTGCGTAAAAACGTATGCGCAAGTCACTGTTCTGTAAGATAGACGAATAAAAATCACTAATTCTACCACGGTTGTCCATCTTCCAGCTGGGGTGTGAGATACAACTGCGTAAAAACGTATGCGCAAGTCACTGTTCAATAAGATAGACGAATAAAAATCACTAATGCTACCGCAGTTGTCCATCTTCCAGCTGGGGTGCGAGATACAACTGCGTAAAAACGTATGCGCAAGTCACTGTTCAATAAGATAGACGAATAAAAATCACTAATGCTACCGCAGTTGTCCATCTTCCAGCTGGGGTGCGAGATGCAATTACGTAAAAACGTATGCGCAAGTCACTGTTCAATAAGATAGACGAATAAAAATCACTAATTCTACCACGGTTGTCCATCTTCCAGCTGGGGTGCGAGATACAACTGCGTAAAAACGTATGCGCAAGTCACTGTTCAATAAGATAGACGAATAAAAATCACTAATGCTACCGCAGTTGTCCATCTTCCAGCTGGGGTGCGAGATACAACTGCGTAAAAACGTATGCGCAAGTCACTGTTCAATAAGATAGACGAATAAAAATCACTAATGCTACCGCAGTTGTCCATCTTCCAGCTGGGGTGCGAGATACAACTGCGTAAAAACGTATGCGCAAGTCACTGTTCAATAAGATAGACGAATAAAAATCACTAATTCTACCACGGTTGTCCATCTTCCAGCTGGGGTGCGAGATACAACTGCGTAAAAACGTATGCGCAAGTCACTGTTCAATAAGATAGACGAATAAAAATCACTAATGCTACCGCAGTTGTCCATCTTCCAGCTGGGGTGCGAGATACAACTGCGTAAAAACGTATGCGCAAGTCACTGTTCAATAAGATAGACGAATAAAAATCACTAATTCTACCACGGTTGTCCATCTTCCAGCTGGGGTGCGAGATACAACTGCGTAAAAACGTATGCGCAAGTCACTGTTCAATAAGATAGACGAATAAAAATCACTAATGCTACCGCAGTTGTCCATCTTCCAGCTGGGGTGCGAGATGCAATTACGTAAAAACGTATGCGCAAGTCACTGTTCAATAAGATAGACGAATAAAAATCACTAATTCTACCACGGTTGTCCATCTTCCAGCTGGGGTGCGAGATACAACTGCGTAAAAACGTATGCGCAAGTCACTGTTCAATAAGATAGACGAATAAAAATCACTAATGCTACCGCAGTTGTCCATCTTCCAGCTGGGGTGCGAGATACAACTGCGTAAAAACGTATGCGCAAGTCACTGTTCAATAAGATAGACGAATAAAAATCACTAATGCTACCGCAGTTGTCCATCTTCCAGCTGGGGTGTGAGATACAACTGCGTAAAAACGTATGCGCAAGTCACTGTTCAATAAGATAGACGAATAAAAATCACTAATTCTACCACGGTTGTCCATCTTCCAGCTGGGGTGCGAGATACAACTGCGTAAAAACGTATGCGCAAGTCACTGTTCAATAAGATAGACGAATAAAAATCACTAATGCTACCGCAGTTGTCCATCTTCCAGCTGGGGTGCGAGATACAACTGCGTAAAAACGTATGCGCAAGTCACTGTTCAATAAGATAGACGAATAAAAATCACTAATGCTACCGCAGTTGTCCATCTTCCAGCTGGGGTGCGAGATACAACTGCGTAAAAACGTATGCGCAAGTCACTGTTCAATAAGATAGACGAATAAAAATCACTAATGCTACCGCAGTTGTCCATCTTCCAGCTGGGGTGCGAGATACAACTGCGTAAAAACGTATGCGCAAGTCACTGTTCAATAAGATAGACGAATAAAAATCACTAATGCTACCGCAGTTGTCCATCTTCCAGCTGGGGTGCGAGATACAACTGCGTAAAAACGTATGCGCAAGTCACTGTTCAATAAGATAGACGAATAAAAATCACTAATGCTACCGCAGTTGTCCATCTTCCAGCTGGGTTGCGAGGTACAACTGCGTAAAAACGTATGCGCAAGTCACTGTTCTATAAGATAGACGAATAAAAAACACTAAAGCTACCGCGGCTGTCCATCTTCCAGCTGGGGTGCGAGATACAACTGCGTAAAAACGTATGCGCAAGTCACTGTTCTATAAGATAGACGATTAAAAAACACTAATGCTACCGCGGCTGTCCATCTTCCAGCTGGGGTGCGAGATACAACTGCGTAAAAACGTATGCGCAAAACACTGTTCTATAAGATAGACGAATAAAAAAGGCTAATGATACCGCGGCTGTCCATCTTCCAGCTGGGGTGCGAGATACAACTGCGTAAAAACGTATGCGCAAGTCACTGTTCAATAAGATAGACGAATAAAAATCACTAATGCTACCGCAGTTGTCCATCTTCCAGCTGGGGTGCGAGATACAACTGCGTAAAAACGTATGCGCAAGTCACTGTTCAATAAGATAGACGAATAAAAATCACTAATGCTACCGCAGTTGTCCATCTTCCAGCTGGGGTGCGAGATACAACTGCGTAAAAACGTATGCGCAAGTCACTGTTCAATAAGATAGACGAATAAAAATCACTAATGCTACCGCAGTTGTCCATCTTCCAGCTGGGGTGCGAGATACAACTGCGTAAAAACGTATGCGCAAGTCACTGTTCAATAAGATAGACGAATAAAAATCACTAATGCTACCGCAGTTGTCCATCTTCCAGCTGGGGTGCGAGATACAACTGCGTAAAAACGTATGCGCAAGTCACTGTTCAATAAGATAGACGAATAAAAATCACTAATGCTACCGCAGTTGTCCATCTTCCAGCTGGGGTGCGAGATACAACTGCGTAAAAACGTATGCGCAAGTCACTGTTCAATAAGATAGACGAATAAAAATCACTAATGCTACCGCAGTTGTCCATCTTCCAGCTGGGGTGCGAGATACAACTGCGTAAAAACGTATGCGCAAGTCACTGTTCAATAAGATAGACGAATAAAAATCACTAATGCTACCGCAGTTGTCCATCTTCCAGCTGGGTTGCGAGGTACAACTGCGTAAAAACGTATGCGCAAGTCACTGTTCTATAAGATAGACGAATAAAAAACACTAAAGCTACCGCGGCTGTCCATCTTCCAGCTGGGGTGCGAGATACAACTGCGTAAAAACGTATGCGCAAGTCACTGTTCTATAAGATAGACGATTAAAAAACACTAATGCTACCGCGGCTGTCCATCTTCCAGCTGGGGTGCGAGATACAACTGCGTAAAAACGTATGCGCAAAACACTGTTCTATAAGATAGACGAATAAAAAAGGCTAATGATACCGCGGCTGTCCATCTTCCAGCTGGGGTGCGAGATACAACTGGGTATAGTAGAGGAACACCATGGCGATGGCAGTGAAGATGAGAAATGCGAATGACATCAGGAGGAGGATGCGAGTGATCGCCTGCTCCCTCTCCGTCCTCAGAGCAGAGTTCGCCCCTCCTCCGCCCGCTTTCGAGTTGTTATTCTGCTTTCTGAAAATGTGTCAAAACTAACTTAAAAAAAAAGATAATTCTGAAGAAATTTACCAGATTCGGAGCTTCTTGGCAACCGGTTTTTCTCAACATTGGGTAAATTTGTTAGTGTCGTTCGAATCAGGGCTGAAAGGGCTTTGATGTGATATACCACATTAATCATTGCGATAATTATTTATGAAAAACACTTTCGCTCGAAAAACAAAATGAGCCTGCTCGCTCGCCTCGTTTGCTCGAAATTAGACCAGAAACTAAAATTTTCAAACTAGTTTTTCTCGACAATTTTTCAAAATAACACGAAAACAACTGCTTTTTTTGTTACCAAATTATAGGAACAGGCTTATAATTCAGTTCATTTAGTTTTAGCCAACAAATCAGCAGAGGGCAATTTATTCTGGAACTTAGATAGAAAATTGAAATTAAACAATTTTTTTTCTCGATCTTAGGGGAGGGAGGCGTACAGTGAAGTTTTAAAAAGTAGTTTACAATAGGTTCAGTAACAAACAGATGCATTATAACGCCCCTCACTGCTGTTAAACTAGACTGAAAAGCATAATTTACAAACCGTATTTTCTCGAAAATGAAAAAAAAAATCTTGCAAAACCTTCAATGCAGCTCGAATCACAACTGAGCAATTCAAAAACGCTAAATCACTCAAAAAAACTTTTAAAAGGCTGAGATCAAATGAATTTTGCAAGCTTTAAAAAAGGATAGCCGGTTGCTGTGCAAGTAGACAAATGTTCATAAGAACACTAGTTTGAAGAGAACTGAAAAAAACTCTTTCATTGGGTTTTTTATGAACATGGCCTTATGAATGCGACCATAATCATTTAACAAAATTTTTTTTTAAATTAAAAACAAGTGTCGGTTTTAGTGCGTGGCGTGATATTCATCAAAAAACAAACAAAAAAAGTGTTTTTTTTTTCGTTTATTTTGAAAAATTGTCGAGAAAAACTAGTTTGAAAATTTTAGTTTTTGGTCTAATTTTGAGCAAACGAGGCGAGCGAGCAGGCTCATTTTGTTTTTCGAGCGAAAGTGTTTTTCATAAATAATTATCGCAATGATTAGTGTGGTATATCACATCAAAGCCCTTTCAGCCCTGATTCGAACGACACTAACAAATTTACCCAATGTTGAGAAAAACCGATTTTAAATATTAGTCGAATTTTGAGCGAGTAAAGCAAGCGAGCAGGCTTAATATAGAAGAATAAGCCATAAAACTGGAGTTGCAGTCCAGTAAAAAAAAATATTTCAAAATTTCTTGCTCTTCTTCGAAAAAAAACTTCAAAACTTCAAAATATCAAAACTTCTTGATTTTTTTTCGGCCAAAACTGTTGCTTGATTTGTCTATTTTGTTTGACTGCCAAATATGTTTTTATGCTTGGTTTTCGTCATATCTTTTTTCCACACGACTCTCAAACAACGCTAATTTTAAAAAAAAAAACGTCAAAAAGCTTTTTATGAAGAATATGGTTTATCCTTGTTGTTATTCCACCGGCTATCCTTGTTTTTCATCTTGATAGTATTTTGATTAAATTTTTAACCAAAAGCTACTCATAAATTTTTAAAGACAGTCAGACTCGACTGATAGGAGAAGTCTTATTTTAAAGCAAACTTGACATGAAAGGTCAACAAACACTAATTTTGAATTGGGTGCAGAAACTTGTTTCAGTTTTTAAACGATAAAGTAGAATTTATATAATATTTTTAGGTGCAGTTAAGTTGTACTAGAAATTTGCGTTCATTATACACTTATTGTATGTAAGAATTGAAAAAACTTCCATATATATATAAAGACCAATATTATTTATACAGTTAAGTATATCCGGCTATTGTTGCTAACTCTGCATACCCGCATCCAATTTCAAGCGTTAATAATCGATTATAATACGATTTTAGTACCAGACTTACAAAAATTGAAAAAATATTAATTTTAATCGATTAATAATTGATTAATAATAATAATAATCATAATAATAATCATAATAATCATAATAATAATCATAAAAATAATCATAATAATCATAATCATAATAATCATAAAAATAATCATAATAATAATCATAATAATAATCATTATCATAATAATAATCATAATAATCATAATAATCATAATAATAATCATAAAAATAATCATAATAATCATAACAGTAATCATAATAATAGAAATCATAATCATTATAACCGATTATTCTCTCTTTTTACTGAGTGCGGGTATGTTGTCTCACCGCATGAAGTACAGTATGGCCAGGTTGAACATGAAGATGAGAGAAGAGGGCAGTCCGCAGTAGACGAAGGAGGCGGAGTAGTGGAAGTAGAGCAGTTTGCCCAACTCACTCATGTAGCTGGGTCGAGTGCACTGTCCGTCCACTAGTTCGAATGCGTAGAAGTGGCCCAACAGGGAAATGTAAGTCAGCAACACAACTAGTGCACTGCTCAACCCCGCGTATCTGAACAACACTCGGAGATCTTTTTTTTGTATTTGACAATTTTTCTTAACCTTTTGTCGGATCCGAAAAAAAATTGTTCTTAAGCAAAAAAAAATTGAATGATTGTTCCAACAATCAGGGGTTAATTTGAGCAGTCTTGTATTGATTTATTGTTACTTTTACATTTTTTTGTCATTAGCTTGCCATTTAAACTGTTTTTAGCGTGTTTCTGGTGAAATTTCGATAATGTTCTGGTAATGGTTCAATGTTGCTAAAGTGTATTTTGAACGAGCGTGACATTTGTTTTATTAACCGCGTTGAAGTTTTCTTATGTTTCGACCGACTTGACACAAACTGGCTATGTTTCAGCCGAATTGACCAAAGGAAAATCGTATTCGACTGTTTTCGACACAATCGTGCCATGTTTCGATAAACTCGACCAAAAGAAAAGTGTGTTCGACTGTTTTCGACACAAGCGTGCTTTGTTTTGGCCGACTCGACCAAAATAAAAATGTATTTGACTGTTTTCGACACAAGCGTGCTATGTTTTGGCCGACTCGACACAAACTGGCAATGATTCGACTGGCTTAACTGACAAAAAATTTTGCTCGACTGTTTTCGACACAAGCGTGTTATGTTTCGACAGTCTCGACCGGAGGAAAAAGGTGGTTGACTGTTTTCGACACAATCATGCTGATTTTTGACCGACTTGACCAAAATAAAAATGTATTTGACTGTTTTCGACACAAGCGTGCTTTGTTTTGGCCGACTCGACACAAACTGGCAATGATTCGACTGGCTTAACTGACAAAAAATTTTGCTCGACTGTTTTCGACACAAACTTGTTATGTTTCGACAGTCTCGACCGGAGGAAAAAAGTGTTTGACTGTTTTCGACACAATCATGCTGATTTTTGACCGACTTGACCAAAATAAAAAGGTATTTGACTGTTTTCGACACAAACGTGCTGTGTTTCGACCGACTCGACACAAACTGGCAATGATTCGACTGGCTTAACTGACAAAAAATTTTGCTCGACTGTTTTCGACACAAGCGTGTTATGTTTCGACAGTCTCGACCGGAGGAAAAAGGTGGTTGACTGTTTTCGACACAATCATGCTGATTTTTGACCGACTTGACCAAAATAAAAATGTATTTGACTGTTTTCGACACAAGCGTGCTTTGTTTTGTCCGACTCGACACAAACTGGCAATGATTCGACTGGCTTAACTGACAAAAAATTTTGCTCGACTGTTTTCGACACAAACTTGTTATGTTTCGACAGTCTCGACCGGAGGAAAAAAGTGTTTGACTGTTTTCGACACAATCATGCTGATTTTTGACCGACTTGACCAAAATAAAAATGTATTTGACTGTTTTCGACACAAACGTGCTGTGTTTCGACCGACTTGATCGAAAAAAATGTTTTCGACTGAGTTCGAAACAAGCGTGTTATGTTTTGACCGACTCGACCCAAACTGGCCAAAGTTTCGATTGATTCGAACAGGGAAAAAATTTTTCAAATGTTTTCGACACAGCGTGCTATGTTCCGACCGACTTGAACCAAAACTTTTATGTATCGTCCGACTCTACCGAAAAGAAATCCTTCGTCAAATTGACTACTTTTGTTTTAAACATATCATATGTATTTAATTTGATTGTTTTCCAGCATTCTTTGTTATGACGATTTTTTTGTAAACCAAAAATAATTTAAGCATCGAACTTTTTTTGGCTAATTGGGCTTTGTTGTTTAATGTGTATTTTCTGACTGACCTTTTAATCTTATGATATATATGTTTTATTTCATTGTTTTCTAAAATTATTGTGCTGACAATTTTTTGTCGTTGTCCCAAAACAAAGTGCTTATATCTGTAAAAAAAAATACTTGGGGCCTCACAGTTCAGGCCTTCTCATTGGCTGTACTGTTCACAATTAGGATAGAGAAAACGAGTCGAAACTTAAGTCGAAAACTTCAAACCGTTCAAATCGTGTATGATTGACGTAATCCTTCCCACGAATGTTCAAATGTTAATCCCTCCCACGAACGTTCATTACACATTACATTGAAAATTTGATTTTTTTTTTGAAAATTACATCAGCTTATTTGTTCTGGAAGGTGTCTGAATAAAAACAGAAGTAGTGTGCTTACCTGACATTTGATCACGTGATGGTATTATTTTCAATGTACCAACTTGTGGTTGGATCACGTGATATGGCGAATGAACTTTTTGCAGTTCCTACCTGAGGTTGGCCTTGAGTGACCTGTACTTGATGGGCATGGACACCGGAGGAGTCTGTCGAAGGTGAAGAGGGTGAGGACGAACTGGGTGGAGCAGGTAGTGGCATAGTTGATCCACATGCCCGCTTTGCACCAGCCACGCCCCAACACGTACAGGTTCGTAAACCACACCCCAATGCTGAAAACCTCAAATCTTTAGAGTCACACTCACGCACACGATCAGTAGCGGATTTAGGGGGGGGGGGGGGGGGGGGGGGGGTTGGCGGACGCCTTTCCCTCAGCGATTCGGGATTCGACCCCCCGCCGACCCAAAAGGTCCCCCCTTTGTACTATTTTGAGATATCCATTTTTGGCTGACTGGCCCTAAAGCTTTTCTAAAGGCGACTTTGGCTCCAATATATACGAATTTTGAGGAACGCGCGCCAAAAAACGTGATTTTTTGGTCAATATTTTCCAAAACGCTTTTCTTGGCCTGTTTTCTGAAAAATTTGCCTGCGGTGCAGAAAGTTTGGTCGAAATGGGGTCTTTATAGTGATTTGGGCGAGAAAAAAAGGTCGACAAATTTTTCAAGTATTTTTTAAAAATCCGCCCCCCCCCCCCCCTCGAGAAAATCTTAGATCCGCGCCTGCACACGCTACTAAGGTTATGACTTCTTGAATGTTTTCCGGCCTGTTCGTTTCTTCAAAAATTGCCTGATCCTTGAATTTTTTTGTTAAAATTGGTGTATTTATTTTTGATCGCTTTCGAGTCTTAAAAATTTCAGAAACGTTTTCTCAAATTAGGGTTTTAAAACTGTTTTGGGCTCTTTTTCCTTCCCCCCCCCCCACCTCACACGAGCTTCAATATATTAGTGTAACGAGTGGTTTTACGAGGTTGAGTATGAAGACCAAATATGTTTTTTGTGGCCTTATTAGTCTGTATGTAAATTTTCATAACAATCGGACAATGTGGTCAACAAATTTACATGTAAAAATTTGCAGGTGGGGGGGGGAAGGAAAAAGAGCCCTGTTTTGGACGAGCTGAGAAAATAATTTTGGTCTGCGTATAAAATATAATTTTTTGGGAAATTTGCAATCCTCTTCGAGAAAATCCTGATCAGCTCGTGACTTTAGAACTAATTTTAAAAAGCATTTACCAATTTTCCAACACTTTTGGACACCATCGCTAGAATTGTGCTGTGAGTGTTTTTGAGCGTAATTCATTTGATAAGGTTCAGAACAAATTCACGCGATCCTGTTAAAACTTTATCCAATGTGAAGAAGATGCCATCGGAGCCGACCTGTTTTATAAGACAAACGAGAGCATTCTCCAATGAAACCCATATCCTAACACTAACCCAACCGATAGAATAGCGTCTACAAATCCTGAGATGCTATCCCCCACACAGATTATGAGCATGTACAGAGTAGACGAAGTGTTCACGCCCATATAAGTCAGAGTCAGAACGCCGAGAGTGTTTAGGACGATGCCGAGAAAGCCAAACGCGGGCACGACCACTGCGTTTATCCAGAACAGCAGACTCACGAAAGTATCGCTCAAGTACTCCTCTTCGTTCACACCTGTTGATTGCGACCCAGCAGATGATGAAAGTGTCGACACTTCTAAAACTGCGGTTGTGTTGTCCATTTCCGACGTTGTATGAGCGCTGTTTTCAAGCTAAGAAACTTCCAAATAATCAAAAAAATTGAAGCAAGAATCAAACTAAATAACTCTATTTTCTTCTATAAAAGAAGAAATTAGGGCTCGAAGGAACATGGCTGCAGGTCAGAAATAAGTAAATTAAAAGAAACCCTTTCACTGAAATTTAGGGAGCAGATTGGAAAAAAAATCAATTTCAATTATCGTTTTCATCAAAAAAAGCCCACCTCTTACTACCACCTCTTAATTTCTAAAGGCAAAGGAGTAAAGGATAATAAATCTGTAGAACAAACAACGCTGCAATAAACTGAAAAAAAATGCTGATAGGCAGGGGTGGATCTAGGATTTTTTCGAGGGCGGAGCGGATTTTTAAAGATTTTTCGAAAAATTAGTTTATTTTTTTTTTAGGTTGATAAATTTGATTTTCCCGAGCTCTTCCAAAGCACTAAATAAAGACCTTCTTTTGGCAAATTTTCTGCGCCGCATGCAAATTTTTGAAAAAAAAAACAGGTAAAAAAAAGGCGTTTTCAGGCACTTTTTGGGAAACTTTGAGCAAAAAATTGCATCTTTTGGTGCGCTCTTCTCTCTCAGCAATAATAAATATTGGCGACAAAAGCGCATTTAGAAAAATTTAATGGTCCGCCAGCCAAAAATGGATATCTCAAAAAAGCACAAAGGGGGACCTTTTGGGTCAGCAGGGGGTCGCATCCCTGAAGAGGGGGCATACGAGTACAGGACATTGACCACAAATTATTTTGAACAAGGAAGGAACTCTGGATTTTTTAAAAAATCGTCCGCACTTCCTAAAATGTTTTTCAAATTTTGCAAAAAATATGCTTTTATAGCTCGAATTTTTGATAATTGCCTATCACTTAACTCAACCCATTGTCTGCCTAAATTCTTTCCTACTTCAATCATGCAAATTTAGGCTTGGGTTACTTTGACAGTAATCCAGTAAAACACTAGTTTTACAAGATTGTACTCACATAGTTTGATTTGCTTTTTTTCTCGAAGCACTGAAAATTTGGATCAATGAGGCAACTTTTTTTGTTGAGTTTCACTGCATATCTATTTTTAAAACTTCAATTGTCATCGAATTTATCAACTGAGACTGAATGATAACCCTCTTTGTTTGCTCAAAGTTTCTATTCATAAATGTGAAAAAGCCTTACAATAAATCCGTTTTACTCGTTTGAATTATTACCTATTCCTAACTATGGGCAAATTGACATTAATGGAGTGGTTAGCGGGACGTCAAGAATTATGAACAATATCTTCTCAAAATTGCTCTTATCAAGGCGAAGACTGAAGACGATACTTAGTTCGGAAATCTCCTACGAGATGAGACAATTTATAATGAACGGTTACTTTTAACTTGCATTTAATATGTTTTCATACCGTGTCCAGGTAAAGACAATTTTTCCGCTGAAATCAGTAGCGGATTTAGGGGGGTGGGGGTTGGGGGGGGGGGGGTTGGGGGTTGGGGGGTTGAACTGGGTGGAGCAGGTAGTGGCATAGTTGATCCACATGCCCACTTTGCACCAGCCACGCCCCAACACGTACAGGTTCGTAAACCACACCCCAATGCTGAAAACCTCAAATCTTTAGAGTCACACTCACGCACACGATCAGTAGCGGATTTAGGGGGGGAGGGGGGCGGACGCCTTTATCCCTCAGGGATTCGACCCCCTGTCGACTTAAAGGGCCCCCCTTTGTACTATTTTGAGATATCCATTTTTGGGGACGGACCCTAAAATTTTTCTAAAGGCGCCTTTGGCCCCAGGCACCAATATATACTAGTTTTAAAGGGGGTGCGCGCGCCGAAAAAACGCGATTTTTTGGTCAAAATTTTCCAAAAAGTTCCTAAAAACGCCTTTTTTGGCCTGTTTTTTCAAAATTTTGCCTGCAGCGCAGAAAATTCGGCCAAAACAGGGGCAAAGCAGTGCTTTGGGAGAGCTCGAAAAATCAATTTGGTTGACCTAAAAAAAAGGTCGACAAAATTTTCGAAAATTTATTGAAAATCCGCCCCCCCCCCCCTCGAGAAAATCCTAGATCCCCCCTGGCTGAAATCAGTATCTACCCAGACTCAATTTGTTTAGTTTGCCTCATAACGATTTCAGAATCACTTTTGAGCGTTGAAAGAAAGAAGTTCCTGATGGTGCATAAAATAATATTATGGAACCAGATCTAAACTAGTTTTTATTATTGGTTATTATTATGATATTTCATCTCTATAGAATATTAAAGACTAACCAATCATACTCCATCAAACTAACAACCCACTTAATTATAAGTGTTGAAACTACTTGTAGTTTCAACACCAGAGCAATTTGAACTAAACTTAGAATACAGTTGTACACTAGATCTATTGAGAGATGGAGATATAAGAGTAAGATTAAGATCGGTATTAGACTAAGAAGTTGCACGAGTCTATCCGGCCGAAAATAAGATAGCGTGACGAGCAGACGGTGTACCTTATCTGAATTTACTCTATGAGTACAGTAACCTATACATAACTCATCTGATGCGACCAAAAAGTCTCGAACAGACCTTAACTAACCGAGATTTAGAAAAAATATATTAGACTTAGACAAATACAACATTTAAAAAAAATGTTATATGACAAAAATTTAGTAGAAATGTCTTCACGACTCAATATATTAGAGCCAATTTTCCGAACAATACGAGAACTACCCGGTATTGGAAGAAGACCTCGGACAAGAGACGACGTACGACTAGGAGAAATCTATCAATCGATTTCATGATTGTACGACAAAAATGAGATCAAACTTTTATATTTAGATTACTTCCAGCGGTAAACATAAATTTTCATTTACTGACATAAAATTTTGAAGAGACATCTTCAATAACCTTTCATGGCGCTAAACCTAATATTTATACAATAACGATTGATAAAAACAACTCTAGTCGTTCTCCTTAAAAATCTCGAGTATTAAAAACATCTTGGAAAAACTATTTGTTGAATATAAAATACAAAAATAATAAAGTATAAAGCATAATTGTTAGTATATATAAATCATCCATTCATCCCAGCTTCATCAACTAAAACATAGCACCAAATCTTAAAACATTAACATCATCAAAACTAAACACTTAATCTTTTCTTCATTTAAACCTTTACCTAAAAGTTATCATGGCTTATCCTTGTTTTCACTTAAATTAATTTCAATTAAAATAATAGATAATCAAGGCTTCCCTTGGATCTTTAAATTAATTTCACTTAAATTAAAATAAATTAACTTTATCTAAAAATTCTGATCATCAAGGCTTCCCTTGGATCTTTAAATTAATTTCACTTAACTTAAAATAAATTAACTTTATCTAAATATTCTGATCATCAAGGCTTCCTTTGGATCTTTAAATTAATTTCACTTAACTTGAAATGAATTAATTTTATCTAAATATTCTGATCATCAAGGCTTCTCTTGGATCTGTAAAATAAATTAAACTAAATTTACTTTTCTGATCATCAAGGCTTATCCTTGGATCAAATATAACAATTCTGTTCTCCCCTCCCAAATTAAATTAGTGTCTAACAACCTCAAACGTCGATTCACTACCCAAACCTTTTTAGAGACCCAGAATTAACAGAAATTTTTCAAGAACTAACCATTCTAATTAAGATAAACAGTGAAGAACTTCGTTTACTCAACCTTCACTTGATCCCCCCTCTTAACTGACCCAGGATAGTACTTAAACTTAGTAAATCAAAAAATAGTATCTACCGAACTACTTGTGTTCTAATTATACCTGAACCTTGTGGATCGATTTACTATTCTCGAACCCTGGATCACTAATCACAACCCCTAAGTAAGACTAGGTAGGTCTATCATAGCTTAGAATTAGTCACAAGAAAGTACACTCTCCAGCTCAAATATACGACCCAAGTTAAGCTAACCGCAGAAAATCGTATGTCAAGAGACAATTTAGGAAACAAACAAACAATCATAAAATACAATTGTTTAATTAACAACGAAAATACGACCTCGTAATCAGACCACACAGACAAACAATAGGATACATAAGAACAAAAAGGCAAACAATAAGAAAAAAAAATATAAACAAACAAAAACAAATTATTAGGAAACGATTTTAAAAACGAAGAGACGCAAGTACCAAAAAACTGAATTTAAAAGGTGGCACAAATTAAATTAGAGACACTCCGACAATGATTGTCCGTAAATGTTAGACCCCATTGTGAGCACACACAATAAAGTTTAAGACACAAATTGCACGAAAAACCCTCGAAAAACAGGCCAAAAATGGCCCAATTTTTAATGAACTTTGTAGGTCAAATTTTTCAACTGATTCAAAAAATCGTGAAATCTTATTTTGCGAGACGCAAAATCTAGCCTATAAGACCCAGATTAGGCAATAAAAGCAGCCCCAGAACATCAACATCAGAAAAATTCGCGTCCCAACACAGACCTCTGAAATCTACCAAAAAACAAGGAATTTGGGCATATTTCATCAAAATGTTATAATCTACCACTACATACCCACGATGAAGATCACTTTCATCATCCACAAAGATTAAAATTAGCTTCCAGTACACATATCGAATGGATTTTAAACAGAGACAAAAACACAAACACACAACGAAATTTACCAGAAAGTAACAAAAAAATTATTATTAAGACAAAATTTTAATTCACAAATAAATTCCCGATTTACCCCACCCACAGATTTAAAAATCGTAACATGTTTTAGTTCCAAACTTTACAACACAAAAAGTAATTTTTGAAAAATTAAAACCACTCCGAAAAGGACCGTATCAAATAATTGATAAACCCACTGATGTAACATACAATTACAGACTTAAACAGAAAAGAAATCGTTCAACATCGAAACAACATTTTCTTTATTATCCGAAAGAGTACGCTCTTTGCGAACTAACTCAATTATACTCCTTTACCGGACTCAAAGTTATTCACAAAAACTCCGATTACAACAAAAAAATCACTCAAACAGAAAAAAAAATCAAAAATTTGAAGGAA